GTAGGAGAGAGAAAAAAGATGTAGAACCTCTCAACTTTTTTGAAAGAATTCACTACACATGTTGGCATTTAATTGGTTTAATTTTTTTAAGCTTTAAAATTTAGATTAATAATTAAATTATATTTCACTCATTATTATAATATATATAAGAAACTCTCAAAGGTTCTAACCATTAGAAATGCTTTTATTGGTGATTTGGTTCCACTTTAGCGTGTCGGACCATAAAAGATGAGGTTATTATTAGGGCTTATTATGAGGAATGCCATAATGGATTCCAAAACTTTTCCAAAATGCCATAATTTGAAACTCATTTCCAAAAATACCACAAATCCACTGTTCATACATGTAAAAAGACAGTTTTACCATTAGCTATAACTTATGTTGTTGTTAGTGTTTTAATCAACCACTATTTAATTTTTGTCCACTACCATTTAGTATTTCGTCCACCACCATCGACTTCGTCTCCGTTCACCGGCTACCACTGTCTCATTCATTGTCCACCACCGTCTCTGTCCACTACAATAGTCTATGTAGTCGTTTCTGTCTACCATGCAACCACCGTAACTGTCTCTTTATCCATTGATGTCCACCATCCAACTACCGTAACTCTCTATGTATCTGTTTCTGTCCATCGTCACTATCTCCGTTTTTGTCCACCATCCACCACCATCTCTGTTTTCGTCACCATCTCCGTCTACGTTTCTGTTTTCTAATTTTTATTTTCGTCCACCATCATCCGCCAACTTCTTTGTAACCATTAATGTGAGAGAGAGAGGTTATTGTAGAGAAAGAGAGAGATTGTTGTGGAGAGAGACGGTGGCTGTGGTGGGGATAGAAAGAAAGATGGAGAGAGGAAAAGAGAAAGCATTGGAGAAAAAGAGAAAGAGAATGTATAGAAGGTATTTTCGTCATGTCATGTGTGCATTGTGACATTTTAAAAAAAAAAATTGTCATTGTGACAATTCTAGCAATTTTGTTTAAAAATAATGGCATTTTTCATAATTCTCTTATTATTATATTCGAAGTTTCAATTATCATGGCCTCGTCCATTAACCACAAGCAAATATAAAATAAAAATATGGGATTATTAGTTAATTACAACTAGGCTATTCACATGCGTAATTATATTTTTATTCAATAGTTTTATCGAAGTCTATGTTATATAAACTTGAGATCCACAAAAGAAACTGATAGTTGGTGGAAGCTGAAGAGGATGCTTTTCCGTAGGAGTAACAACTTATTTTACAAAATTAGTTATGCGGTAAAAGTCTCATAATATCATTATGAAATGGAGAAAATTAAGTAAAGGATAGTGACCTAATGATAAAAGATTGGGGGACAAGATGAACTTTCTTTCTGAATTCGATTTTCATTGGAAACACTTTTGCTTTTATCGAAATAGAACCACGCTTTAGTTCATGAGAATACCCGTTAATGAGCTATTTGATGGGTGCACAATGTGGAA